TGTCAGTATCATCACACATATATGTATTATGTTCATATAGGATTTTAACATCATGCTGCATGTCCTAAGGCACTGACGCTTTTACTGGGTGTTTTAGCGCTACAAGAAGAAGTTTACCAGCTGAACTCATTAGCACACACTCTGCATCATCTACCCTCCTTCCTCCCACCCACTTCCAAGTGCACAATTTTTAAATGAAATGCAATCAATGAGCGATCACTGTTCTCACTAAATACACAGACATTGTTTTTTTTCTACAATAAATTTGTTGTAAACCTCAGTCATGAAATCTGAACAAAGCACAGATTTCTATAGTGTTTATTTGTCTTTCTCCAAAGCTCTGAGTGTGGTCGCTCTCTGGTGCTTTGTTCCTCTGTTCTCAGCATAAGTCACTTCTGAGAGGTTTTCCTGACACAGGAGATAAATTTGTGTTGGGGAGAAGGGGAGAGCTCAGCAGACAGCTTGTCTATACAGATCATACTGAGTTTGCTGTGTGAAGGGTTGTGCGTCCCTTTCCTCCACTCAGCTCTCACAGAGCTCCAAGTGCAGCTCCCTGACCCCACCTCTGTGATACTGACAAATGCAGAAAGATTTTACCTTAAATCAGCCCTTTTAAAGGGATGTAGAGAAGAGAGGACTGCAGATAATCAAGTAAAACCTATGTAGGAGGATCCTTCTGCAAAGCAAGTACATTAACAGGGGCGGACTGACCATTTGGAAACTCGGGCACTGCCGAGGGCCTGAGGTCAGTAGGGGGCCCCATGAGATGCCCCTGGTACCTTTTTCATAGGCTTTTTTGAGTTTGGGCAAGGACACAGGGGCCCCATGATCCCTTATTGCCCCATGAGTTGTCAGTCCGCCCCTGTACATTAATCATATATTGGTACATAGGGGAGCTGGAATTTAGAAATAAAAAGGTGAACTTATCCTTTAAGTCTGTGTGTTTGATGTTCCCCTACTCCCCTTGCTGGTTCCTGTTGAGAACGCTTCCAGGATTACCTGCTTAGTGCATTGGGAGTTGCCTGTGTAAAGACAGCTCTCAATATCTGTTCCCAGGCACCTGTGCCTGTGATGTCCAGTTCTGATAACTCTTTACAACTTTAGCCTGTTTCTTTGCAATCTTTGTTATCCACCTGCCCTGAGCTTTTGCCTTTTTCCCGATGATCCTTTTTACCCACTTACTTTGACCGTTTGCCTGTTTATCGACAATCCTTGAAATCCGTATATAAGAAACAAAAAGAGGGTGCACAGGCCTAGTGCATTACCTTAAAAATGAGATTTATTTATAAATTGTAAAATACTCACAAAAGAAATAAAATCAGATCAAAATGAGAAGCATGTCTCAAGGGATGCAGAGTGGTTCAGGAACCCCTAAAGGTGGTCTGATGGGGGACTGTGAACCTCTGGTTCACAGTGAACCTCTGGTGGCTGACGTGTTTTAAGGTACCTCTTCCTCAGAGTCCACACCAAAGCCCATCAACCCTTGCCTGGTGCGCTGGTGAACACCAGGAAATTCCAATCATCCTCAACCTCGTTAAGTACTGCATTTCCCTGGCAACACAGAGGGTCCACTACCTCTATGACACTTTGATTACCCATAGATAATTTATAAACTCCCATTGCTCCAGAAACTCCCCTTTTTTTCCTCAATTCTGTGGCCCAGTTGTGTGTAAAAAGCCCCAGGAGCCAGTTTTTTTTGCTCTTTTCTGCTTGCAAGTAAGAGGAATGGGGAGCACAACAATGATATCTTAGAACTCAGTCAAGACTACTGAGGAGGCAAGAGTAACATGCAACACTCCTCATATCACATCCATAATATATTTCACCCATAGCAAGGCTATTTATTTTTTATAAGTAATTATATGGCACTGTCAATTTACACAGTGCATTACATATATATTGTACATTCACATCAGTCCCTGCCCTCAAGGATCTTACAATCTAAAGTCCCTAACTCATATTCATACATACACATACTAAAGCCAATTAACTTACCAGCATATCTTTAGAGTGTGGGAGGAAACAGGGAGAACATGCAAACTCCAGGCAGTTAATGCCATGGTTGGAATTCACACCTACGACCCTAGTGCTGCCACATGGAAGTGCTAAACCACTGTGGTGCCCCATGAGTTTATTTATTAAACACGGTAATCGTTCACTCTGCGAAGTGAACATTCACTTTGGTAAACAAACAGTTTCTACTTCTTTTGTAAATCAACTACAATGCAGCATCAGAGCAGTAACTAATCCCTAGACAGACTAGATGACTCAGTTCTAGGTTTCATTTACAGAAAGCAAATGTCATATCAAGCTGCTCTGCTTTTTTTTGTCTATTTAGCAAACTATCTCTTGAAATGCTTTGTTATGCATTAAGTGATCATTTGTAAATCAATGATTGTGTCTATGTATATAGTGAAAAAAATTTAAAAACAAACTTAATGAACAATGATTTGCCTGACAACCCCTTTATTTAGAGCAGAAACAGCAATTTTCTAAGACCCACTAAGTGAAAGTGGCCAGCATATACGTAAGTAAGAAACATTTCCATACAGCAAAGCACATTACCCTGAGAAGGTGGAAGGCAGATCCAGCAGTTCATCGCCACTGCAAACTGCTAAATAATCCTATTGCCTTGCTGATGTGTTTTTGAAGGTCTGTGACCATTAGTCATCTTCAACCTTCTTCCCACCTTCCCACCATAGCCCAGACATATGAAGAATACGGCAGATTGTAGTCACATGTACCACATAGCCAATACTTGCCAGATATTCCTGCAGCTCCTTTAATGTTGCTGTAGGCCTCTTGGCAGCCTCAGAGACCAGTTTTCTTCTTGTCTTTTCATCAATTTTGGAGGGACGTCCAGTTCTTGTTAATGTCACTGTTGTGTCATATTTTCTCCACTTGATGATGACTGTCTTCACTGTGTTCCATGGTATATCTAATGCCTTGGAAATTCTTTTGTACCCTTCTCCTGACTGATACCTTTCAACAGTGAGATCCTTCTGTTGCTTTGGAAGCTCTCTGCGGACCATGGCTTTTGCTGTAGGATGCGAGTAAGAAAATGTCATGAAAGACCTACTAGAACAGCTGAACTTTATTTGGGGTTAATCAGAGGCACTTTAAATGATGGCAGGTGTGTACTGACTCCTATTTAATATGACTTTAAATGTGATTGCTTAATTCTGAACACAGCTACATCCCCACTTATAAGAGGGTATGCACACTTATGCAACCACATTATTTAAATTTTTTATGTTTACTTCCCCCCCTAAAAGATTTCAGTTTGTTTTTCACTTGAGCTGTACAGTTTATAGGTCATATTAAAGGTGGAAAAAGTTCTGAAATTATTTATCTTTGTCTAATTTTTTTACATCACAGAAACCTGACATTTTAACAGGGGTGTGAAGACTTTTTATATCCACTGTATTCTTCCAGGTCAGTAACTCATCTTTATTATAGCAAAAACGCTACTTTTTGCTTTTAAAAAAGTCCCTGACCCTTTCCAAAAATGCAGCAGCTCAAAAAAGCATAGATGTGAACATGTTCTATAGGAAACCATGTTAAATGGACTGTAGTGCGTTTCTACAAAAAGCACAAAAAAACGCATTGCTGCGAAGGGAGCCTAAAAGTGTACATTTATTAGTTAAGATACAAGTCAATTCCATCGCTGGACTCTTTATTAAGTCTGCATGCAAACAATTCTAACAGTATACAGCAACAGTATAATTAAAAACACTTTTTACTTCTCAATATAATGCCATGTTTGAGCTCCATACAAGTGACTATGCCTAGACTGAGATCATATCATAAAGCTACTGCAGGCAGAAGGAAGCCTTTCCTACCCCCAGTGATCAGCCTGCAATGGCTGATTTTTGTCAGCCAAGTATGTATACAGGCAATATATCCAGATTGACACGATTGTGTCATCCCAAAGCAGGCCCAGAAAGAAGAGGTTGACCCTGGATGATGCCTGAACAAAATGGTGCTATCCTTCTGGATATTCAAGCAGATGTCCAAATAATTAGTAAAACCTGATCTGGAATATGCAGTTCAGTTTTGGGCACAGTTCACAAAAAGCATAAGGGACAAGGGCAGCCAAACTGATAAGAGACATGGAGGAGCTCAGTTATGAGGAATGATTGACTGAACTGGATGTATTCTCTCTTAAGAAGAGGCAATTAATGTGTTACTAAACCCAGAAAAGTAAAATCAGTCTGTATATGCAGTAAAGCATGCTTGTTATTCTCACTGTGGAACCTAAGGGGTTAATCCTCTATATCGTATAAAAAGGATGTTTGATCCTGTTTATGATTCTCCCCTTTTTCCAGTGTCTCCCAAATATCTCCTGATAAAACAGAGGCTAGGGGCAAGCTGCACATGCTCAGTTTGGTGTGTATTGCTAGAGAGTTTTTTTTTTTTTTCTTGGGAGAGTGCATATGATCAGCACAGGGCCAATCATCACTCTCCAGACAGAGGTCAGGGGTTCTGCATCCTCCTAGAGCAGAAAGAAAACTCCACCTACAAGCTTTAACCAGTGCTCTGGTAACACTGATAGAAGTCACAAGAACTGCTGGTGAGAAAAGGTATTTAGCAGTTTACATTTACTAAAATAATTGCATTTCCATGTTGTGTGTACTGTGGGAGACCAGGTATAGTGAATGCAGGGTCCTGGGTTTAGTAACACTAGTCCCTGGAATTCATAAAGACTGGCACAGGCAGATATTGTGAAGGTGTCTCTCATGCATTCTAAAAGTGGTGAACAATGCGCCAAATTCCTGTCCCTTTTCTGGAACTTGTATTTGAATTTGGTGCATGCTTCACTGTTTTTAGAATACAACGAGAAGGTTTAGCAAAATCTGTCTGAGCCAGTTTTTCATTCTCTACGACAAAAAAAGAGTTGGTATTAACTCCACTTTTACATTTGATGCACGCAACGTAAAAGTAACACATTTAATGCAACACAATGCAAAAGTGACACATTATAGAACTATCTGAACTATCTGAAATTGAATAATTGCATTTGGGAGACCAGATACAGTGAATGCAGGGTCCTGGAGACCCTGTTGTGTGTCCTGTGAGACCAGATACAGTGAATGTGTGTCCTGGGGAGACCAGATACAGTGAATGCAGGGTCCTGGGAGACCAGATACAGATACAGTGAATGCAGGGTCCGGGGAAACCAGATACAGTGAATGCAGGGTCCGGGGTTTAGTAACACTTTAAGGGGAGTTATGATCCCTATGTATAAATACACATGTGATCCATATAATGAATTTGATGTTGAGTTATTCACTTTCTGATCATTTCAGAGGTCCAGGGGGCCACTCTTTACACCTGGAGAAAAAGAGAATTAACTTCCACACATGAAAAGGTTTCTTTACAATAAGAGCTGTCAAAATGTGGAATAGACTCCCTCAAGAACTAGTTCTGGCCAGCTCAGTAGACTGTTTTTAAAAAAAACTGGATGCATTCCTAAATGCACAGACTATAACAGGGTATTAACCAGGGGCGGACTGACAACTCATGGGGCCCCCGGGCAATAGGGGATCATGGGGCCCCTGTGTCCTTGCCCAAACTCAAAAAAGCCTATGAAAAAGATACCAGGGGCATCAATTTCAAATGGTCAGTCCGCCCCTGGTACTAACATTTATAGATAAGGTTATAGGTAGGTTGATCCAGGGAATATTCAAATGCCTTCTAAGGGATCTAGAAGGAATTTTTTCCCTCTGCTGGAGCAAAGTGGATCATGCGTTATTGTTTCTTTTTGCCTTCCTCTAGTTCAACTGTGGGTACAGGATTCTGTATTGTGAGGTTTTCTATTATGTTTTTCTATTGGTTGAACTCTATGGACTTGTGTCTTTTTTCAACCTATATAACTAGTAAGACATTGTCAGGGGGAGTACTGTGATCTATGTGAGAGCAGATTAATACCAAAAAATGTTACGCTTATGCATACTTTTAATATTTTATATTGCTGACAGAAAAATCCAAACAAGTATAATCACAAATACAAGCTGGAAGTTGACATTGCAATTATGTAGATAATACTGCTTGCTGTAACCCAGAATATTGGGGCAGGACCAGGGGCGGACTGACCATTTGGGAACTGGGGCACTGCCCAAGGGTCCGGGGTCAGTAGGGGGCCCCATGAGATACCTCTGGTACCTTTCATAGGCTTTTTTGGGTGTGGTTTGAGTGTGGGCGAGGACATAGGGGCCCCATGATCCCCTATTTCCCGGGGGCCCCCGGAGTTGTCAGACCACCCCTGGACAGGACACAACTTCACATTAACTATGCTACAACAGGATCTGTCCCTGGAAATCTGGACACTCAGATCCATTGCTACAACTCTACGGCTCTAAGCAGCTGCTGCACTATTCCTTTCTTCAAAACTTCCATTTTAGGGAGGTGGGGTTCCCCTTAAAAGTCCTGCCCTTTTTTTTTTTAAGAATGTCATTTAAAAAAAAAAAAATGTCAGTCCAGCTGCAGAAGGTTCTACACATTGTACAGATGTGCAACTTTGCAGGTAGTTTCGGGCCCCCCCCCCCCCCAGACATGATATTTAAAGGAATTTTACATTTTTTTTTTACTTTGGGAATGAAAAATGACTGCCCCTTTAAAAATGGTACTTTTTGAAGTGGTATTTTTTCACTGGTTCATGTCCCTCAGGGCAGTACCCGAGTCCCCATACCCTTTTTATGGCCAATAACTTTCATATAAGCCTTCAAAATGGGCACTTTTTAATGTACACGTTTTATAACCAATGTAATTCCCATAGACTTGCACTGGTTTTGAAGTTTATTGTCGAACTTTCATTAGGTTTGAATGTTCGACCGTGAACCAAACAGGGAGACATTCGGCCCTTCCCCACCACTTTTTCCTTGTGTACAGAAAAGCATATAATTTATATTTTTACTTTTTTTAAATTATTCTTTGTTCTGAGGTTTATGTATGTCTTTGCGGCTTGTGACATAGTAATTAGAAGTATTTTGTGGGTAAAGGGTCCGTGGTCTTGACTAAGCTCAGGCTCTGTTTCATCATCCCTCTTTAACGACTTGCCCTCCACCCTGTAGCAGTATATATATATATATATATATATATATACACACAGTATACATGATTTGCATTCCTGGGTATGGGGTGCACCCTACCCACGCAGCTATTGGCGGCTAGAGATGCCAATCACCAAGTCTCGGAGGCCCATTTCCGTCTTGGAGATCATCGGGGAAAGCTGACAGTGGGGAGACCTTTGTATAAACAGCACAGGTCTCTCTGCTGTCAGCATGGACATGCTGTTTTGTATCTCTCTGCACAGCAAACAGAAACAAAACAGCATGTTTCCCCCTAGTAAAACACAGCACACAGTAAGACACACCCAGCACACAGTTAACCCTTTGATCGCCCCAGATGTTAACCCCTTCCTGCCCAGTGTCATTAGTACAGTGTCAGTGCTTTTTATTAGCACTGATCACTGTATTAGTGTCACTGGGGATGTCAGTGGCAGTTAGTCAGTTCCCACCCAGTGTCAGAATGTCCACCGCAGTCCCCCAGTCCTGTTATAAGTCACTGATTGCCACCATTACTAGTATAAAAAAAAAAATTTTAAGTATGTATACCGCCATTTGTAGACACTATAACTTTCACATAAACCAATTAATTTACATGTATTGGGGTTTTTTTTTTAGCAAAGACATGTAACAGAATAAATTTTGTCCTTAATTTATGAAGAAGTAAGATTTTTAAAATATTTTTATTGGATATGTTTTATAGCAAAAAGTAAAAAATATTGTTTTTTTTCAAAATTGTCATTCTTTTTTTTTGTTTAATCATTAGCCGCCCGGCCAATGGCCGTTTGGCGGCTTCAGATGTGCCTCTTCATTCCGGGTGCACGCCATTTGGCATGCTCCCGCACATGCGCCGTTTGCGGTAATGCAGAGCGGCGCAGCAGCGGGATCTGTCACGGGCCGTGCACCTCGGACACGGCCGATGAGAGATCCGAGTACCGCCTCCCGTTGCTGGTACCATGTGACCTGCTGTGACCAATCACAGCAGGTCACATGACAGTTGTATACAATGGATGGCTTCATTCATGATGCCATCCATTGTATACTAGTGCCTAGCTGTGAATGGTCACAGCTAATCACATGCACATGTCATGTGATTAGCTGTGACCAAATCACAGCTAAGCACAAAAAAAAAAAAAAAAAAAAAAAAAAGCTGAATGAATCGATTTCATTCAGGTAAATGCTTGCTTATAGCAAAGTAATTCTTTGCTATAAGCAAATTGTGTAAAAAAAAAAAAAAAATACTGATCACTTCCCCAAAGTAGTACAGTGTTACTATGGTAACATTGTACTACTTTGGTCATAGTAAAATATGAAAAAAAAAAATCTTAAAAAAAAAAAAAAAAATGTAATAAAAAATTAAATATAATAAAAAAAAAAAAAATATATATATATATATATTTTTTTTTTCATACTGTCACCAGTCAGTGTCCCTGTTAACCGCCATGCCAGTTATATGATGACGCTGTACTGCACTGGTGACAATATGTAAAAAAAAAATAGTGAAAATAATTTTTTTAATTTTTTCATTTTCCGAAAAATTATGACATAAAAATACAACTTCAAAAAACTCGCCATGCCTCTTATGAAGTACGTCGGACTGTTTACTCTGCAAAAAGGGGTCATTTGTGCGATATCTGTACTATTCTGACATTCTTGGATCTCAAGAAATTAGATTGGCTGTCAGTACTTCAGGATTGATCAATATTCAGATCTATACCATAGTTTGTGAACTCTATAACTTTCCTACAAACTAAATAATACATCCTAATTTGGGTTATTTTCACCAAAGACATGTAGCAGAATACATCTCGGCCTAAATTTATGAAGAACAATTATTTATTTGTAAACTTTTATAACAGAAACAAAGAAAAATGTGGTTTTTTTTCAAAATTTTTGGCCTTTTTTTGTTAATTTAGCAAAAAATAAAAACCCCAGCGGTGATTAAATACCACCAAAAGAAAGCTCTAGTTGTGTGAAGAAAATTATAAAATTTTTAGTTTGGGTACAGTGTTGTATGACCGCGCAATTGTCATTCAAAGTGTGAGAGCGCTGAAACCTGAAAAATGGACTGGGCAGGAAGGTGTAAAATTGCACGGTATTGAAATGGTTAAAGCTCAAAAAATAAAAAAACACACAGGTGATCAAATACTACCAAAAAAAAACTCTATTTGTGGGAAAAAAAGGACATAAATTTAATTTATGTAGAGCATTTCATGACTGCACAATTGTCAGTTAAAGTAACGCAGTGCAGTATCGCAAAAAATGGCCTGGTTAGGAGGGGGGTAAATCTTCCAGAGGGCAAGTAAACCACATCCAATGTTAGGCGCAACCTGACCATAACCATTTTTGTTGATGCACTATGCATGCCGAAGGACTTTTTTCTCTGCCATTTGTCATGTTGTTTTGAATTTTTTATTGTAAAGTCAAGCAGATTACTTGTTATGGGTATTGTTAATTTTTGCATATTGTTTTTTTTGTAAATATCAGTTCTCTTGTTTTTAATAGGAGTTTATGTCATATTTAGGATTTTCACTAAAAAAAGTGTTCTGCCAGTAAATTTCCCATGTTTTATTAATAAAAAAAAGTAGCAATGGGCTGGCAACCCTGGAAAGTAAGCTGTGTACATGGCTTACTTCCTAGGTCATATGAACACTTTGCATACTATTATAGGAGCGTGGTCTGGGTTGGGAACAGAGGAAGTAGAGAGCACTGTCAGTCAGGCATGTGCTCCGCCTTGTAGGAAGATCAGATAAATGGCCTGGAATAATAGATAATAATAACAGTGGTGTCACAGGATATCGGCTTACCTCCGCCCCGCCATAGGTACAGCAATCACATGACCTAGAAATAAACATCCAAAAATGATACAAGCAAACTTATTTTTAAAGCATTTTGTAAATAAATCTGTGGCTGGTGGTGTGCCCTATCATACAAAGAAAGCAGATATCCACGTGTTTAGAACCACTTTAGTAAATATCTGCTAACCTTGTTTGACCAGATTATTTCAAACATGCTCCTCATACTCTCTCTCACTCTTTTTTTTCAGTAAATGCAATCCACAGGCCTCGTATATGAGTCAAACTTAATTTTAAATTTATGGGTCTATTAACATTTATAGAGAATAAAGTGGAAATATACTTGACTTATTAACTGTATAATTTTTTCCTGTACAGGCAAATGAAGGTTAGGGCAAACAAGGAAATGTTTGCCTAATTTGTTCACTGACAATACAGACAGGAATAAGGCATTGTTTTAATCATTGGCGTGTGTACCTAGAAGACGGCAGTGCCAACCTCCACCTGTGATTTCTGGAACACATGTCATGTTCTTCCTTTAACAGGTGAAAAACGACACACATTTCATCCCACCTTCCTTGTATGATGTTAAATAATGAAATACTTCCAAAGCAAACCTGTCATCATTTAATCCTTTGAATGGAAAAAGTCTGAAAGTTTGAAAGTTCTGTCTAAGGCAAAGTTTAGAAATTTGGCAAGATTGCCTTCAGGTCACTTTTCAAGAGGTGTCTAACTGGCAGTGAGGAGTCACTACCAGCTCTAAATGGCACCTCTAAATGACATTCCATCAGTGCCAGGGACCTCACACTTGTGGCCGGAGTAGTGGCAGGGAAGCATTAGTGTTGGGTGTTGTTGTGGAAGTGGATCAGTATTGTCAGGCTTTCTTTTCATGGTGTGGCTATTTTTATTCACTGGCTTGAAATGGAATGGGACCTAACACCATTTTTTGTTTGTTTTTTCTTCTTTTTTTTTCGTCACCCATTATAATAGGTAATAAGACAAGCATGAAAATGGATTAACAAAAGTGATAACACAATTTAGCATGCAGATTAAATAGTAGTAAGGATTAGGCATAAGTTATGAACTTGGTGTCCAGATCAGCATAAACAGTACCAAGGTCACTTAAAGTGCAACAGTTTGCAGTAATAAAGCTTGATTTACCAGATTAAAGAGACTATACTGTTGCATTAATGGTGACAATGTTAGGAATAAAAAACAACAAAATCAGAATGCGCTTATATCATATATCGTGCAAAACTGTGCAAAAAATTATAAATATATATTGTAAAAAAGAAACCCCAGTGAATCTCAACATAAATTGTTCATATACAAAAGTCCAAAATCCCAAATTATTTCTTCTTAAATCAAATAAATCCACCGTGCTCAATCCACCACCAGATGAATGGAATAAACTCACCAGAGCTAGATGCTGATCAAATTATAAATCAGCACAAGCGTATTTGCTCTGGGAGCGATGAGAAAATCCAAGGAAACACCCTCCTGTAATTAGAAATCCAGGCACCAGGAGCAATACTCCGCAACCACTCTACGATATGGCCAGGACTTTTTATACAGCGGTCATCCTCCAAACACATGATAGTATCACTCCAAAATAAAGAAAAGGCATGATGGTGCAGTACGTAAAAAACTATGTATGTTTATTTAAAATTCATATTACTCACAAAGCAAGTGTCCACCTGACACTGGTATAACAAGCGATAGAGATGCACAAAAGCATGTAACGAATGGTGAACGAACTCCGTTCACTGCGGACACCTCGCCGACAGTTGCCGGGAACGTCCTGACGTCATCCAATAGGCTCCGCCCTACGCGTTTCGTCACACTGACGTCCTCACGGAGCGGCATGGATTCAGACGTCAATTCCATTCATATATACCGCTCGCACTCTGCACAGCGGTATTTCTTTATCCAATCACAGCGGCGCTATAATGATATACCGCCGCTCAATTGGCAAAGATACAATTATATCACAAATCCTACAATCACATATATCCGATATTTGTTTTAACATATAAACTACATATTAAAAATATATATTAAAAAGGAATGAACTACATTTTATATCAAATCATTATCTGAAAATGACTAATCACTTAATCATGAGCTTTCTAAAGGGGAACTCTATACCACAAAAATAAAATCCATCACATACCAATACATACAATATTCCATTCTTAATATATTGTTGTATACATTTTCTAATAAGCGAACTCTCCACACAATTCCACAAGAGATATATATGTACACATATATTTAAATACTTAGATCATTATTAATCCTTAAGTTGAATCCCCTCACTCCAAAGGACCCAGCCTCAAAACCTTGAAAAGAAAAGAAACCCCACTCATCATCTCTAATCCAATTAAATCAGGATACATATATATCTCTCTTTTTCTCCTTTAACAAAAACTCTCCACTATATATTTCTAATTTTACCAAAGAATATGTTTAAAAATTCGTCAAAAAACAATTCAGATCAATATCTATATTTAAACCATTCGGTTTCAATACATCTAATTCGTATATCCAAAACGTCTCCCTTTTGGATATTTCATTGATCATATCTATTCCTCTCCAGTGTTTTTTTACGCTTTCTATTCCATAAAAGGTTGCTAGACTTGGATCACTGTTATGTTTTAATTTAAAGTGTTTTGACACACTATGTTTATCGTACCCCTTTCTTATGTTGTTAAGATGTTCTCCAATTCTTGTTTTTAATAGTCTCCCCGTCCTCCCCACATACTGTAAGTGACATGGGCACTCTAAAACATAAATTACATGGGATGAATTACATGAAATTAATGAATTTATCTTATATTCTTTTCCCGTGTGTGTTGATGTAAAATTCTTTCTTTTTTTCTTAGTATCTTTTTTTATTGTTTTGCATGCCTTACACTTATTACAGTTAAAGAAACCCTGTATTTCAGGAAAGAACTGTTTTTTCATCGGTGGGTCCAAAACATTGTGAACCAATTTCATCTTCAATGACTTATTTTTCCTATATATAAATTTAGGTTTTTTAGGAATAATCCCTTTTAATATCTCATCTTTAAGCAGTATTGGCCAGTATTTTTTAAAAATTTTCTCCACCTGTCTATATTGTTTGTTGAAATTGGTAATAAAGGCAATCTCCTGTTTCTTTTCCTTCTTTTTATTATTCATTAACAACCCATCTCTATCTTTATTCCCAATTACTTTTCTTTCGATCTCCAGAAAGGACTTATTGTAGCCCTTATCTACAAATCTCTCTATCAGCAAACTAGTCTGATCTACAAAATCTTCCTGTCGACTACAGTTTCTTTTTATTCTAGTGAACTGGCTCCTTGGTGTATTAAACAACCATCTAGGATGGTGTCCACTGGAAGTAGGAATATAACTATTTTTGTCAACATCCTTAAAAAAACTTTTAGTATAAATACCACCTCCATACTTATACAGCGTGAGATCTAAAAAATTCACCTTTTCAGGATCACTAATTGTTGTAAATTTCAACCCATATTGATTGATATTGATACTATTGGTAAACCTACTAAGGTCTTCCTCTGAACCCCTCCAAATCATCACGATATCGTCAATATAACGCCTATATAGAACC